AGGAGGAAGTATGTCAACATGGTTTCTAGTGCCATAAAGCAGGGGTCGAGCAGCCAGATTGTGTCCAGGACCAGCAGACAATATTAGAACATTGGAGAAAGGCTTTAAGGGGGTAGATGCTATTTAACCCAAGTGTGTCATTTTTCAAGGCAAGCCAGAAATTGGGATGTGTAGGACAATATCTGATTATTAAATGCATGGAATAAATTAAAAGATTTTAAAGGCATGGTACAGGCCCGACAATACAATTTGGAGGGCTACCAGTTTGAGACCATGACCCTCTCAAACCTTTAAGCCAGTTATGCCCTTGGGGTCTGGATGGTCTCTGTCTAGTAAGATGTGGGCCAGGGGCCATGGAAGTGGAGAGGGAGGTCAGGGCTGGGCTCCAGCCCCCACGTTCCTGCTGATCTCTTATGTCCTTGTGTGAGTCCTGAACCTCTCTGGTCTGTACCCTACGGGCATGTGGACTGGGCAGGAGGCTTTAAGGGTTGGGTGGGGAGGGCACTGGTCTCACCAAGCTCCTCCTCGGTCATGGGCAGGAAGTGGTCCACCAGCTCCTCCGACTTGCCCAGCACGACGTCCACAGCATGGCTCATGGAACGCTTTAGCTCCACACTCCAGCGCCGGCTCTGCCGTGCCAGGCCCACCATGCCTGTCATACTGCTGGCCACTGCGTCCTTGGCTGAGGTTACCACCTAGATGGGGGGTGGGGGCCCAGATCCAGGTGCTGTCAGATTCTGGCTCCCTTCCCTGGCCCCTGGGGCTAGGGGTCAAGGATTCCTGGCCCCTTCCTGGCTCTGGGCCTCAATTCCTCCTCTATAACTTGGAGAAAAATTAAATATCTCCCTTACAAGGTGGTTGAAGGGGTTACCAGCACCTACTGGCACATATTAAGTGCTAAATAAATATAGGTGCCAATTATTTTAATCTGGCTGGTGTTTTTTGATCTGGTCCCAGAGTCTGGCTGGCAGAGCATTTGGGGCTGGACCTAGGGGGAGGCAGTCTTCCTCCCTCCCACCCCCAGCCCCTGCAGTTCCCCACAGTCCTATGGTCTGGTGCTGTACCATCTCTGAAGGTTGCTGGAGAAAGGGTAGCTTCTCCTCCAGCTTGTCCAGGCCTCTGCAGGCAAGATCATTCACTGTAGCCACTGGAAAGAGAGAGAGAGAGAGAGGCAGGGACAATCTGGAAGATGAAGAAGGAGATAGATACACAGAGGAACATAGGAGGGAGGGCTGGAGCTGGAGGGAGAAGCAGAGGGAAAAAGAGAGGAGATACGGGGGAGGGGGGGAAGAAGGGTGGGAGGGAGAGAGACAGGGAGAGGTCAAGGAAGGCCTACTTGGCAGAGGCAACCTGGCTGGTCCCTAATGGGCTGCGGACCCTGAGGGTATGGGTGGGTCACCAGGCTGGGCCCCGCCTCCTCTGCTCTCCCCACCTCTGCCCTGCCACCAGCTTCTGCCAGCACCAAGGTGACTCCACACCCATGTTCAGCTCAGATGCCACAGCGAGCAGGCTCAAGGTCACTCAAGCCAGCAAAGTAGGTGGGGAAGCCCTGGGCTGGGACCCTCAGGTGACTCCCTTCTTCAGTCGGACATGAGGCCAAGAGTCTTTCTGCCCTCCCCTGCATCAGGCTGTCAGGGTGGACTCCTGGGCTGGTCACAGGTCTGGGGAGGTGTAGGGCTCAGGGCAGGTGGAGGCAAGGACAAGGGGGCAGACGGGAAAGGGAGGTTGGACAGGCAAAGGGGACCCAAGGCACAACAGGCCAACCAGCAAGGGCGGAGAACATCAAGACAGATGGGATGGGGACAGAGGGAGGGGACCACAAGTAAAATGCCAAGGGCAGATGACAGCCAGGGGATATAATATAATATACCAACAGGTAGAGGAGAAGTGGGACAGGCAAAGAAGGGCTGAGCGAGGATAACACGGATGGATGGGGCAGGCAGGCAGACTGAAGTCACAGAGGATGGGCAAGGCTGAGGTGGGACACCCAGGTCACGGGGTCCACCCCGGGGCATGTCATGCGGATGGAGCAGGAGAGGGTGGAACCACAGGCAACCACAGGACTCTCTGGCCAGGGGGACTCACGCTGAGGCTGCAGGTGGCTGATCAGTGGCTGGGCGTGGTCCAGGGCGCTGGTGGTGAGGCTGCACACGCAGTGCTCGGCCAGGCGGCAGGCAGAGCCCAGCAGCGGGTGCCTATCCTTGGCTGCGCTATAGGCACCCGAGACGGCAGTGCATGTGGCCTTGACCAGGGGCAGGGCCACAACTCGCTGCACCGCGCTCTGTGGGAAGGGGAAGCATCAGAAGGGCCCACAGGGAGATGGGAGTCTCAGCCACACTTCAGCCCACTTCCTGTCTATGGGCCAGAATGAGGGGTGGGCAAGAGTTGAGGGAGTGTGTATTGAGCACCTGGCTGTGTACAGCAGAGGAAACCCACGTGAAGGTACTCACAGGCTCCTGTTCTCAATAGCACACACACAGCGGGACGAGTTCTGAAAGAGTCTGGCAGCTAAGGGCACACAGCCTCTGGGGCAAAACTGCCTGTAGTCAGCTCTGGTCCGGCCACCTCTGAGCTGTGTGAGCTTGGGCAAGTGAGTGAACTGCTTGGGCCTAGGTCTCCATTCTGTAAAACTGGTTTCTAGGGCTATGATCAAAACGCCCGGAGCCAGTGTATGTGAAGCACTTGGATCAGCGACTGATGCAGAGCTGGTGCTGTGAGTGCTGCTATTGTTGTTGTCGTTAAGAGTGCCGTGATGCCGAACACAGGAATAAGGAGATGCGGGTGAGGAGATCCAGAGCGGGAGAGGGAAAGGTGGGCAGAGGCAAGGTTTCTCTGTGCCCCTCTGGGAAATGGTAGGAGATGTAGAGATGCCAGGCTTCATGGTCCAAAATGCCTTAAGAGTGAGGTGTTGGCATCGAAGGCAGAGGTGTTAGGGGTACCCAGCTTGCAGCCGTGCAGGGAGGGACTGTACCCCATCCTTCCCCATGCCCTGCTCCATAAGAGGTGGAGCCCCTCACCGGATGGTCCTGCTCCCACAAGCTGGATCTGCGGCCCGGAGCCGCCTCATCCTCTGACATGCCTGCTGCGGACAGGGTCACCTGAGGAGCAGGACAGAGTGAGGGGGTTCAGCCCTCCCAGTTCCCTCCCAGGCCTTGGGGTCTGTCTGGAGCCTAAGAGCCTCTGTGACTCCAGGAAGTCTTGTTCCTTCTTGGGGCCTCAGTTTCCTCATCTGAGAAATGGAGTAATGATAATACCTACCTCAGAATGTCATGAGGAGCACAGATAGTGCATGCACAGGACTCTGCGCACAGTAGTGCACATGAGAGAGCCTCTGGCAAGGGGGTGGCCCTGTAGTGATTCAAAGCATGGGCTCAGAGTTTGAATCTTGCCATTATCTGCTGTGTGACTTTGGGCAAGTGCCTTCACCTCTCTGGGCTGCTTCCTCTTCTGCAAAGTAGGGAAGGTCCCTGCTGTCCTTCTCCCGGACAGAGCTGCACAAGCAGCCCCCTACAGGGATGCAGGCAGTGGCTGTAGAATCCCAATAAACCCAGTCAGTTTGACAATCAGGAAAACTGAGGCACACAGCGGTCTACTCCGAGCCCAAGGTCATTCAGCTTAAGTTTGACTCAGAGTAGGGAGTTTGACCTCAGACTCCCCGCCTGCAGTTCATCCCCACCCCTGCCTTAAGTGCCGTGGTCCCCGCCCAGCTGGGTCCTGAGCTTCAGCCAACTGGGCCAAGGGTCTCAGCCACCTGCTCTGGCCCATCACCTCTGTCTTGCTGGACCCTCGCCCCCGCACCCCATTCCGGGCCCCCGGGCCTGCGGAGCGCTCCTGGACGCCACCCGCGTGGCACTCACCCGAGTGTGCGCAGCCTCAGCCCCCAGGTACCGTCACGGACCCCAACTCGGGCTCCAGTCTCCGCCCCCTGCCAGCCCCGCCCGCCTTATAGTGGCTCTGGAGGCGGAGCCTCCGGGGATCGACCAATAGAGAGAGGCCGTGCGGGGGCGTGCCGCTGGGGCGGGGTTCCAGGCTCGCTTGCTCCTCTCGGGTGCTCCCAGAGCCGCGTGCAGATGCCAAAGCAGCTTGGAGGCGCTGGATACCCAAGGGTTGAGCTACTTCCGTGACACCCTCAGTGGAGGGCGATCATAGCTCCCACCTCCTCGCCCAGTAACCTCAGGCAAGTCCTTAACGTTGTTCTGTTTGTTTTTTTTTAAATCTGCCACTTAACTAAACCAGGAGCCAGGCCGGCCCGTTGCCTCAGATCTTCGTTTTACAGAGGAGCAAATTGAGGCTCAGAATGCGTAAACCACTTGCCCTGGGCCCCACCGCGACTGAAGGATTCGATTTAAACCCAGCTCTACCAGGCTCCAGACCCTGGCTTTTTCATCATCATGCCTGGATTGACCACCAACGGTCATGACACCTCCCAGGGATCTGAAAAACCTGAGCCTGGCCCAAAAGTTCCCATGCCCCCCAAATGTGACCCTGTTCCCACTATACCCAGCACTGTGTCAGCAGGTGGCTCCAGGTTCTGAGTCGTGAGAACACAGCTCCCTGGGCTTCTGCCCATCTGTTCAGCCTCATCCAGTCTGCCCACACTTGCCCTGGGTGGCTGCCCCCTGGGTTATCACTGGCCAGCATGACAAATTGTTTGGAGACCTGAAGCAATCTGGTTTAATTTAAACCTTCCCCAGGGCACAAGCTCTGGCAGGAATCCACCAGTAAAATGACACCCGGGGCAATGGTCAGGGTTTTATTTCCAGTTAAGCCTCAGGATAGAAGGGAGGAGGAGGACCAGCCACAGGCCACCAGATCCCAATTGCCATCCATTTGGAATTTCAAGTTCAGCACCCCAAGCCCTGGGCCATGCCTCTCTTCCCTCCTTTACCCTGGAGACTTAGGAAGGTTCAGGAACACAGCGACTTGGGAGATGCAGGCACACAGTGAATGCTACTTTGTTCAATTCTGTTTGACAATTATTTATTAACCCCCTTGGGCCTGACCTCTGACTAAGTGATGAGTAAGAGGCAACTGAGCCCCAGGCTCACTCAGAGAGCCCCCCAAACTGGGAGAGAGCCAGGGCCAGATAGAGACAGCCCCGGTGTGGCCAGGGCTGAGCCAGCGGGAGGGCAAGGGAGCCAAGGGAACTGGGAGACCAAGAGATCTGGAAAAGGGAGCGGGTGTTCCTAGAAGAGGGTGCAGCTTGAGCAAAGGCAAGGAGGCTGCAGAGCCTAAGAAGTGTTTTGGGAAGCACCGGCAAAATGGGTCTAGCAATTATGGAAATCCTGCCTCACCCTTAAAAGGAGGGGATTAATTGCTTAGTGGGGTGCAGTGTTCTGCCACGCCATCCCTACCCATTTCCACCCCAGCCTCAGGCTTCAAATGGGATATGGCTGCAGCCAATAGCGTCTTGCCCTTCATGGCTTTAGGCTCAGCACAACATGTGTGATTCCGGAAGAACATCTTGTCTTTATTGTCCACAAGCCACTGATAGAGGTCGTCCAAGTTCTGGTCGCAGATCCAGGGGTTACCGGAGATGTCAAAGCCATCCTTCATGTCCCGGGCTGCTCCAGGCTTCCCCAGGGATGTCCAGAGCCCCCTGGGCACACTGGTCAGTAAATTGTTGGAGAGGTCCAACATGTCCAGCTGCTTCAGACCTCGGAAGGTGCTGGCCGCCACCATGGCCAGCTGGTTATTACTCAGGAAAAGGTGGTGCAGGTTTGGCTGGGGCACCAGAAGGCCTTCTTCGAGTGTTCGCAATCTGTTGCCTTCCAGGTGCAGCCGTTCCAACTTCAGGGGGCCCCTCAGAAGGTCAGAGGGCAAAGTTTCCAGTTGGTTATGGCCAAGGTTAAGGATGCGCAGGTCGGTGAAGTTGGCCAGCAGCCTGGGGGGAAGTGTCCGGAGGCGGTTTCCAGATAGATCCAGATGCCCCAGGGCTTTCAGGCCATACAGCCATGAGGCTTCCAGGACTTCCAGCTGGTTTTCTGTCAGCACCACGGTGTGGAGGGCAGCTGAATTCTGGAAGAGGCCCGGGGACAGCTGGGTCAGGGCATTGCGGGTGAGATCGAGCACTTTCAGCTGAGGCACAGGCAACAGAAACTTGGCTGAGAGGTTCTTCAGCCCATTGTTGGAAAGGTGCAGTTCCTGGAGGTTAGACATGTCCCGGAGCATGTCGGGTGGCAGCTGGGTGAGGTTGTAGAACTCCACAGCCAGGTAGACGGTGTCAGCTCGGAGGTAACTCAAAAATTTTGCAGGTGGTTGGCAGTTGACAGAGCTGCCATTTTCTAATTGGAACACTTGGCAGGCTTCAGGATTTGGGGTGACCCCCTGGGCTGAGGGGGCCACAATTATTAGCAGCAGGAGCAGGGTTCTAGAAAGACAGGGTTCCAAGCCCCCTGGGCTGCAGGCAATGACAGAAGGCACTTATTGAGCCAAAATAAAAATACACCCAGCTCAGTGAAAATATACCCAGAATCTGCCCCCTTCTTCTCATCTCCACTTCCACCCCCCACGGCCATGCCTTCTCATTGCTCTGCTGGATAATGCAGTCACCACCTCCTCCTCTTCACGTTTTAAAGGCAGAGCCGGTGAACTCCTACCCATCCTGCAAAGCCCCCAACTCCAATGTTCCTTTTTCCATGAAGCCTTCTCTGACTTTCCCAAGCAGTACTCTCAGTTTCCCCTCTGTGCTTCTCCTCTTTCTGTTCAGCCCTGACTAAACCAGGTTAGGCTGTGTCCAGCTCTGTCTTGCTTCAAGCACTCAGGTACAACCCAGGGCTCCAGGTGCGAATGGGACTCTGAAAATGAAAAGTGCCTGAAACTGGTTTGGGGACAGACCTTTGGCCTTGGGATTGGGTGGTTTACTGTTGGCACTGAAACCCTGGGAGGGCTGGGGCTTCTGCTCCTCCCGGTCCCTGCTGCAAGCCTCTGACGTTGGGGGTGGGCTTCCACTCCCGGCCTGGGGCGTGTGCAGGTGAGTGTGCGTATGGAAGCAAGCCTGTCCTAGTCAGAGCCTGAGCGTTGGTCTGTTCCAGCCAGTAGGCCTACCGTTTGGCCCTATGACTTCAGCGGTCAGACAGAAAGTCTGTGCTCTGCCCACTGTCCAAGTCTGCCCAGGAACAGCGGGGGGACCTACCTCTGGTTTCGCTCTGGGCTCCAAGAGGACATGGTGGCCTCTCTCTTTTCCATCTAGGTTCCTTTGGTTCCTAGGTGAGTTGGTCTTATACCTGCCTGGGCTGGGGGCAGGGGCACCAACCATAGGGAAGGCCCACCCACATCCTGTTCCTGATAGTGGCTAAACCTGAGCCAGGCAGGGGAAAGGGAGGGGCCAGGATTGCAAAATTGTTTCCTGGCAGGGGGAGGACAGCAGAGGGTCTGTCCACCCGTCTTGTCCCTGCTTCTGCCAAGTTTTCCTTATCTTGATTCCTGCTTTCAGGAAGCGGGCACCCTTGAGCCTTTGGGGCTGAGTCCCCACTCCCCCCAACTGGGGAATCAAGGGTCAAGCCTGGCAGATGGGGACAGTTCTTTGAGCAAGAGGTACTATTTATGACACATTTGAGCAACCAGGAAGTGCAGTGAAGAGAACAAAAAACACTTGTCTTGAATTTATGACATGTTGTTGGATATATTTTTATTGAAATAATTTTTAAAAAAATAGAATTTAAAAGTGAGTGATGCCAAAAGTCTTCACAGTCTTTGAACAACGGTCTGGGAGGGACTAAAGTTGGTTCTGAATCCCAGCTGTGCTAGGACTGCTTTGCTTTGTGACCATGGGCAAGTAGCCTAACTTTTCTTGGCCTCTGTTTCCCCATCGGTGAAGTAGAATTCAATGTCCAAGGGCTCTGCCTGTTCTTTTTTTTAAATTGAATTTATTGAGGTGACATTGGTTAATAAAATCACATAGGTTTCAGGTGTTACTCTTTTTCCATCCTAAGCTGATGTGCTATTTGTTTTGGATCTTTTGTTTACTATGAATGCATTTGGAAGCTACGCATTTTCCTTTGAGAATGGCTTTGGCTGCTTCTCATGGGTTTGGTTATTCAGTGCTTTCATTCTTGTTGAGCTCTAAAAATTCACCTCTGCTTTGTCATCTTTATCTGTCATTCCTGGCCACAGCCTCTTCTTCCGGGCTACAGCCATTAAAGTTTTGTCCCTATTCAGCTGTGAGGATAATTGAGTTCTGTCTTAGTGGACACACAGGCTCAGAGACAGACACACACGCTGACAGTGACAGGCACAGATAAAGAATGACAGATAGACACACATGAATCCAAAGACATAGTTACTGACACAGAGAGGGCAAAAATACATGGAAAGAACCTAACAGAGACACAGACAGAGCAGGACACGTGGGACAGAAAGGCAGAACTGCAGAGATGGACACACAAAACAGACACACACCAAAATGGGCAAAGGACCTGACTAGATACTTTTCCAAAGAAGACATGCAAATGGCCAACAGATATATGAAAAGATCCTCAACATCACTGATCATCAGGGAAATGCAAATCAAAACTACCATGAGATATCACCTCACACCTGTTGGAATGGCTATTACCAATAAGACAAGGAATAACAAGTGTTGGAGAGGATGTGGAGAAGAGGGAACCCTCTGCACTGTTGGTGGAGATGCATGAGTTGCTGCAGCTGCTATGGAGAACATGGAGGTCCCTAAGAAAACTAAAAATGGAGCTGCCACACCATCCAGCAATTCCACTTCTAGGTATTTATCAGAAGTAAATGAAATCACTATCTTTAGATATGTCTACCGCCATGGTTATTGCAACATTATTCACACACACAGGCACACACACACAGACACAGACACAGACACACACACAGACACACACACACACACACACACACACACACAGAATATTACCCAGCCATAAAGAAAGACACAAACCCTGCCATTTGCAATAACATGGATGAACCTTGAGGGCATCATGTTAAGTGAAATAAGTCAGAGAAAGAGAAATACTATGTGATCTCACTTATATGTGGATTCTAAAAAAAAAGAGAACTCATAGAAACCAGTAGTAGAATGGTTTTTGCCAGGGGCTGGGCCTGGGAATGGAGAGATGTTGGTCTAAGGGTACAAACTTGCAGTTGTGAGTAAGATCTGGGGATCTAATGTACAGCAGTGACTGTAGTTGATAACACTGTATTGTATAGTTGAAAGTTGCTAAGAGAGTAGATTTTAAATGTTCTGACCATATACTAAACAGTAGCTGTGTGAGGTAATGGATGTGTTAACCCTACTGTGGTGATCAGTTCTCAATATATACATATATCAAATCATCAAGTTGTGCACCTGAAACTTACACAATGTTTTATGTCAATTATATCTCAAGCTGAAAAAAACAGACACGCACAGATTCAGGAGGAGCTGTTAGATGCCATCCCTGTTTTGAGTTTCTTTGTTTACTATCAGGTTCCCCCATGACAAGGGGAAACCGGATCTGTCTTGTTCACACAGTAGGTGCTTAATTGACATGGGCTGGAAGGAAGGGTTGCGAACTGTGAGGACATAATGCTAAAGCAATCTCTTAAAGTTAAATCAGATCACGTCTCCTGCTTAAAACCCTCTGGAGGCTTCCCGTCTGACTTAAAACTCATAAGGCTGGGTGCATGGGGAGTAGGATGAGGTGTCAGCATTTAATGAAGGTGCAGTTTTGGTTCGGGAAGACGAGAAAGTGCTGGAAATGGATGGTGGGGATGGCTGCCCAGCAATGTGAACGGACTTCCTGCCACTGAACTCAGCACTTAAAAAAAACTCAAACGGCACATTTGAATTTATGTATATTTATGCATGTTTTACCACAGTTTAAAAAAACTGTACTCCTCAGCGGCGAGGCCCTGCCAACCTGGGGGCCTATCCCTCTCTCCCTCTTGTCTTCACCTGATTGCTCTTCCCTCACCAACTGCTCCAGCTTCACTGGCCTCTCCAGCCCTCCTCCAGGTGAACTCCCACCTTGGGCCTTGGCACTGCCTGTCCCTTCTGCCTGGAAGGCCCTATCCGCACATCTCCCCAGGGGGCCTTCTCACCAGTCCCTGTCTCAGCTCAAGTGCCACCTCCAGCAGGCCCTCCTTGACCTCCCCCTCTCCCCCCACACAGTCACCCCTCCCTAGCACATTACCTGGTTTTTACCTCATGACACATGTCACTGCCTCAGCTCAAGTCCTAATCTGTTCAGATGTGTCAGTCTCCCCACTAGGCTGTGAGCTCCAGGAGGACAGGGGTCTTTGTCCCCACACAGTGCCTGGCACACAGTAGGTGCACACTAAATATTTGCTGAAGGACCAGTCAGAAACTGACCCCCAACTGGATGAAGACAGGGACTCCCCCCAGCTCTCTGCATTCCCACACCCGGCGCCCCCGGGTTCTGTTGGCTGCCGTGGCCCGGCCGCGAGTCTTGCAGGTGCTCCCAGCTGCACAGGGCCACGCTGCCGCCCAGGTCCCGCCCCTGGGGGACAGAGCAGACCCAGAGCCTTGGCGGCCGGTGGTTGTAAACAGTTTTATTGATGGGGAGGGGGTTGGGGAGGCAAATTCCAGAGAGGGTCCAGGTCTCAGCTGGCCACTCAGCTGGCATGCAGGGTCAGCTGGAGGTCAAAGGGGAGGTCACAGGGGACAGGTGACGTGGGACCCTCTGACCACCCTGGGGCCATATTTACAGGGGGGCCCACCCACCCTTGCTGTTCCCCAGACCTTTGCACAGCTGCTGCCAGTATGACTTATGGGCAGGCCCTCCAGGACACCCCTGCCTGAAACCCCTTCTCTGTCTCCCCTCAAATTCCTATCCGGCACCTTGGAGGACCCCCAGCCTTCTGGAAGCCCCTGCGTCGGCTCAGCCAATGCCCAGGCCGCGGAGGCCGCTGCACTCACACACAGACACGCACCCTGTATGAGTGCCCATCCCCACGCACTCGCCAAAAGCAGCCCTCGCAGGCGTCCACACGCACGCCTCCCTCCCCATCCCGGCCCCTCGCACACGGACGTGGCATGCACACACACACACACTCACACACACCAGGAGCCTGGGTTGAGGAGGGACCTGGAGGGGGGGCACTTGGGTCTGCAGCTGTGGCCCCCTCCTCATCCCGCCACCTCCAAGCCCCTGGCCGCCACCCCGAGAACGGAGTTGTGCAATTGGGTAGAAAACTGCAAAAATAAAACGCAAATTGGAAACAAACCCAAACCCACGCACAGAAGATCAACCTCAAATCCATAGCACATCCTCCCGACCCCCGCCCCCCAAACCGCCTAGTGTCCCGCGGCCCCGGGTCAGGGGGGGGGGCCAAGCCGTTGTGCTTCCATGTGGCGGAGGCCCCCGCTCCCCCTGTGCGCTGGGGTGGGGGTCTTGAGCACCCACTCGGAGCTGGGCCTGATCTCTTGCTCCTGTTCCCATGGCTGGCATAGCCCAGGCGTCGGGGGACCCTGGCCTAGGGCACAGGGGGCGCAGTCCTGTCTGTCCCACCGTAGGAGAGGAGGTGGGCCAAGTCCGTGCTGGGCCGGGCGTGGCGGCCACGGTGACGGTCACCTGGCCGGCCCTCGCCGCTGTTGAATGTGTGCGTGCGGCGCAGGGTGGTGGCTGCGGGGGCGTGGGGGCCTGGCCTCCGAAGGCTGCCTGTGGGCGGCGGGCTCCAGGGCCGAGGGAGGCTGTCGGAGGCTGCTGTGTTTGGGTCCGAGGGGCCTGTGGGTGCTGACACGACGCGCCGGCGGTCTGGGCTGGCATGGGGCGTGAGCGGGAAGTCGCCGTGGGAGGCCCGGCTGGGCAAGGGGGGCTGCTCGGGGGCCCGGGCGGGGGCCAGCAGCAGCAGGGAGGAGGAGGCGGAGGCTGGAAGCAGGGGGTGGCTGTGTTCCCAGGCACGGGGGCCCAGGGCGTGGGGGTGAGGGGTGGGCAGGCGCTTCTGGGGCAGTGGCGTCTGTTCGGGTGTGGGCAGCAGCCCCGAGTCCAGGTCATGGGGGCCTCCCTGCAGCAGTGTGGTCTTGACCCACCCGTTCTGCATTAAGGGGGCCAGCAGGGCCTCAGGGGGTCCCCCAGCTCCACTGCCACCCCCACCCCGGCCCCCAGGACCCCCTGCCCGGCGCTCGCCCAGCCGGCTCACGCTCAGCACAGCCTCGCTGCCCCCATGGGCCAGGATGGCCTCCTTGTCCTTGCGGCGGGCCAGCTCACGCCGCTCCCGGAGGCCCACGTACCAGCCCACGCTGAAGCCCGACACCACGGCACCCACCACAAAGGCTGCCACTGACGAC